GGAAGGGGAAGGGGAAGGGGAAGGGGAAGGGGAAGGGGAAGGGGAAGTTCTCCCCTCCCCATGGCCAGGCTGCTCCCACATCTTCTCCCACTGTGGGAACATCCAAGCAGTCCAAAGAAAAGTACTGCCATGGGATCACCCCAGAGGTGTAAAGAAAAAGGCTGTGAGCTCAGCAGAGCTTCCAAAAAGACACATCTCCATCTCTGGATTCAGAGATGGAGAGGTGTGGATCCATAGCTGGAAAAGGGTGGATCCATGATTGGAGAGGTGTGGATCCGTAATTGGAAAGGTGTGGATCCATGACTGGAGAAGGGTGGATCCACAGTCGGAGATGTGTGTATCCGCAGCTGGAGATGTGTGGATCCATGATTTGAAAGGTGTGGATCCGTGGATGGAGAGGTGTGGATCCATGATTGGACACGTGTGGATCCATGATTGGACACGTGTGGATCTATGGCTGGAGAGGTGTGGATCCATGATTGGACACATGTGGATCCATGGCTGGAGAAGTATGGATCCATGGCTGGAGAGGTGTGGATCCATGATTGGACACATGTGGATCTATGGCTGGAGAGGTGTGGATCCATGATTGGAAGTGTGGATCCATGGCTGGAGAGGTGTGGAGCCAGAGTTGGAGAGGCGGGAATCCATGGTTGGAAAGGAGTGGATCCATAGGTAAACAGATGTGGAACCATGATTGGAGAGGTGTGGATCCATAGATGGAAAGGGGTGGATCCACAAGCGGAGAGGTGTGGATCCATACTTGGAGATGTGAATCCACAGCTGGAAAGTCATGGATCCATAACTGGAGAGCCATGATGGTCCCTCCATCCCAGCAGAATCCAAGTCTATCCCAACAATACCGACTCAAGGACCACCTGAACTCCTTCCCTGCTGCTCCTGCACCTACAGCCTCCAGAATCCAGGAGGCTCCGGAGCGGGACACTCACCCTTTGACGTAGATGTCGCTCATCTTCTCCCCGGTGATGCTGAGGTCGTCCAGGATCACATCCTTGGCGTTCCAAACGATACAGCGCAGGTAGAACCTGGAAAATCCGGGGAATAAACCCATGAGAAGGTGGAAAACTCATCCACCTGGAAGCTTGGTTGTCCCACGGATGGATTTCCGTCTCCCTGGAGATGATCCCACACCTGTCCCTCATCCAGGTGGGTGAATCCAACCCCACGCGAGGCTTCCAAGCATTCCAAACTCCTTTTCCAAGGAAAAGATGAGGAAGTAATGGGAAGTTACCTCTTGGCTTTGCGTGGAGTGACGTTGAAAGGGGGGCCGGGATGTCCCAGGGATTTGGGAAACAGATCCACCCACATCTGGAGCTTTCCCTGCATGGAAAAACAGAGCCCTGAAACCTTGGGAGATTCCAGACTGGAACACCTGAACCTCCCCGGGGAGATCTGGGACCCTTAGGGGAAAAGGCAGGATTCCTCCATGGAAAAGGGGCATTAAAGATTATTTTAAAATTATTTGAGAGATAGTTGGGAATGTGTTGATGGATGTAAATCCTGAGGAGCAGCTGAGGGAGGTGGAAAAGGCACTGGAGCACCAGGAAAAGCTGAGAGAGCTGGGAAAGGGGCTCAGCCTGGAAAAAACAGGGATCAGAGGCAAAACCTCCTGGCTCTCCACAACTTCTTGGAATGTTGGAACCAGGTGAGAGCTGCAATCTGCTCCCAGGGAATAATAGGAAAAGAGGGAATGGCCTCAGTCTGGGCCAGGGGAGGGGCAGGTTGGACATCAGCAGGAATTCCCTCATGGACAGGGTGCTCAGGCCTTGGAAGTGCCCAGGGTGGTTTGGAATCCCCATCCCTGGAGATGTCCAAGGAATTCCTGGATGTGGCACTGAGTGCCAGGGTGGGCATTGGGCACAGCTTGGACTCCATGACCTTCGAGGGATTTTCCAGCCTCAGTGATTCTGGGATTCTGTGAGAAGAATTCTGAGTAGGACTTTCAGATCAAAAATGTAAAATTAAATTAAATTAAACTAAATTAAGGTTAATTTAATTTTAAAAAATTGGAGCATACGCTGAAGGGATCGACCACTTCCCCTTCCTGGGAACATCCCATATCCCAGGGCAGACATTCCCAGCAGGATTCTCCCCCTGGACATGGCTGGATCAGGAGATGCCGCTCCTGGGCTCATCCCGGCCACATTCCAGGACCCACCTGCTCGATGTCCGGCTGGAGGGGGCTGTAAAGGCGCCGCGTCTCCACGTGCTCCGGAACCAATCCCTGCTTCCGGAGGGCAGCCAGGGCGAGCCGCTCCTCCACCGGGCCCAGGTGTGGATTCGGGGGTTTTCCATCCTCTGCCACAGGGAAAAGAGCAGAGAGAACCCCACAGGGATGGATTTGGGCCAGGAAGAGCTGGAGCAGCACAGCCTCCATTCCCAAATCATCACCACAAACCCTGCTGGGCACAGGGATGGCATTCCCAATGGGAAAACCCATGGAGACGCTTGTGCAACAACTCCACAAATCACAGCCAGGGAAACATGGCAAGGATCCAGCTGGATCCCATGGAAAGGACAATCCAATGAATCCAGCTCTCCTAGAATCCCAGAAATCAGGATTTCCATCAATCCTCTGCTGATGTTCCCACTCCCAGGAGTTTATCCCAGAGCTTAAAGCCATCCAGGATCTTCAGCTGGGCAGACAGGAATGGGATCCTGATAGGATCCCATTTCTTCTCTGTGGGATTTGGGGTGAAAGACAGGAATGGGAGGAGGAGGAAGGACATGGAGACACCACCAGCACTGCCTGGGGTTGTTCCAAGTTCCTACTCTGGTCCAAGTCCCGGTTCCAGTCCCACCAGGATATCTGCGGTCTTCCATCCAAGGAAGACCTGGAATTATCTCCTCTGCCTGACCTACTCCACACCAACTCCTGATCCTGCCACAGATGGGCCAAGATTCCTCAATTATGGACATTCCTGCCTTGTCTTCCTGGTCAGGATCCATCCACCCATCCCTCCATCCATCCCAGTACTGCCAATGGCCAACTCCTGCCTCCCCATCCCGTTCCTGGGATGCGACACGATGCCCTGTCCTTGGATATCAGGGAAGTGGTGAACTCCTCACCCCTGGAGGTGTCCAAGGAACAACTGGACATGACACTTGGACAAGGTTGGACTCGATCTTGGAGGTCTTTTCCAACCTGAATTCTAGAATTTCAGGATGTTAAAGATCTCTTCCAACTTTAAAAATTCCCTGATTCTCTGAGTCCAACCCAAACAATCCCAAAATCCCAGGTTGGGGTTGGTGAACTTCACCCTACTCATGACAATTGAAAGACAAAGTGTTTCATAAATATTATTCCATATATATTCCATAAATATCATTCCAACTCCACCAAATCCCAGTGAGATATCCCAGCTCCTTCCTTGGCAAGGACACATTTAACTCCAGCCACCTGGGCTAATTCCCAATGATTTCCCAAACCCTGGAATTCCGGCGTGTGCACACACGTGCGGCTTTACACGCCGCGAAAAGAATGAGCCCCTCTTGGAGAACAACAAAATCTGGGAGTTATGGAATAGCGGGCTGGGGGGAGGGGCTTGTAAAATCCCGGCTCTCGTGTTTAACAGCTCCAGTTTATTCCCAGTCCAGCTCTGGAGCTCGCAGCTGGATTCCAGACCTGCTCCGGGTCAAGCCTCGGGCTTTGTTCTGCTGTTTGAACTCGGAGAAGGTGACAGCAGGCGCTGCCACGGGGGAAAAAACGTTTTAACACCTCCCCAGCTCTCCTGGGAAAACTTTTCCATGAGGATTCCTTGCTTCCTTTCTCCTCAGGGGAAAACCTGAATTCCTGCAGGGATTTTTGCTTTGTTTTCCAAGAGTGCAGAGAGGGATCAGCCCTGGGCTGTGCCTTGTTTTGTGTCTCTGGTGACACCCTTGGTGTGGTGGCTCTAAAGAAATCCAATGAAAATTTAGGTGGGATGTGGGGAATTTTTAGCTCTGAGGGTGGGGGGGCCCTGGAAGAGAATTCCCAGAGAAGCTGTGGCTGTGCCTGGATCCCTGGAAGTGTCCAAGGAGAGGTTGGATCCACCTGGGATAGTGGGAAGTGTCCCTGCCCACGGAGCAGGTGGAACAAGATAATCTTTATGGAACCAACCTAAACCATTCCATGATTCCAAACTGCAGCTCCTGGGCCAAGCCAGGTGGGATTTCAAATCCTCCTGGGACTAAAACCCTCTTTTTGTGCCTTAAAGCAGAGTTTTCCCCAAAAAATCCTTCTGCGCCAGGAATGTTGGGTCAGGGGGAGGTGCCATGGGCAAACAAAAAACTCCTCCCCAAAAGTCTGGGGCTTTTCTCCTCCTTGTAGAAGTTGGGTTTGTTCCCTGATTCTCACAAATGCCGAAAGAATTCCCAGGTCTGCGTATGGGATATTGTCTCCCTCTAGTGACCATTCCCAAAATGAAATTCCAATGGAAGAGATGCTCTTAGTGACCATTCCCAAAATGAGATTCCAATGGAATCTCGGAGCTCTCCTGGCTCTGGAAGCACTTGGATCATCAAGTGGGAGCTTCTCACTCCCAATCCAGGGGTGTTGGGTTTGGTCCAACTCAAGGTCAACGCTCCTGGATTGAAGGTCTGGGTTCAATCCCAGGATTTGGAGCACGACCAAGCTTGGGAATGGTTCAGAGCAAACATGGCCAGAGAGGAGGAGGATGGGGACAATGCCATCATTCAAACCTGGTGATGTCTCCATGACATCCAGCTCCACCCCTTTCTCTGGAGCAAGGAAATTCTGCAATCCCAAAGCATCCCTGACATCTTACCCAGCTCTGAGAGGACGTATTCCTGATCCCGGAAGATGATCCGGTCGGATTTGTAGGTGGGAGCTTTGTAGTTGTGCTGCAGGGAGAAGAGGTGGAGCAGCTGGGAAGGGCGGAGTTGATCTCGCCACTGGTTGGGGCCGGAGCTGAAACCAAAAAGAATCATGGGATCATGGAATCATGGAATCATGGAATGGGTTGGAATGGAAAGACATTAAAATTCATCCAGTGCTGTGGGCTGGGATATCTCCCACTGTCCCAGGTGGATCCAAGCCTCAACGTCCAACCTGGCCTTGGGCACTGCCAGGGATCCAGGGGCAGCCACAGCAAATCTGGGAATTCCAGCCCAGCCCCTGCCCACTCTCCCAGCCAGGAATTCCTTCCCAAGATCCCAGCCCAATCTTCCATTCCTGGGATGGGGCAGCCACAGCCTTGCTGGGGGTGTCCTCAGCACAAGGTCACCAGGAGCCACCAGGGTTGGAACAGGATCTCCCTGGAGGAGAACCAGGACTCTGGGAAGTGCAGCTTCAGCCAGGTCCCCCAGGATAGCCCTGCTGTGATCCCGTGGCCCCCTCAGCATCCCAATCCCGGGATTCCTGGACATCCCAATCCCGGGATTCCTGGAGATCCCCAGCACAGGGAGGAGCTCACACGCAGTAGGTCTGGGGCAGGCCGCAGCGGGCGCCGTATTTGGACAGGAAGCGATTCTCCAGGTCGATGACGGTCTCGCCGATCTTCTCGTCCTTGGACAGGAGGTCGTAGTCGTAGAGGGTGACCTTGAGGTCCTTCTCCAGGGGCAGGGTGCAGCTCAGCTCAAACATCCTGGAAACGGGAACAGAGGAATGCTTGGGAAAAGAGGACGGTGCTGCTGGAATTCCATGGGAATGGATCCACGCCTCATCCAGCCCCACCAGTGATGGGATGGATCAGAGTTCCTGAGCTTCCGGGTCATCTTGATCCAGCAAGGCCAGGGCTGTGCTGTGCTGGCTTCGTTTATCATGGAATCATGGAATGGTTTGGATCAGATGACATCTTAATGACCTCATTCCACACCTTCCCTGATCCCAGGTGGATCCAAGCCCCAGTGTCTAACCTGGCCTTGGGCACTGCCAGGGATCCAGGGGCAGCTGGAAAACTGAGGGAAGCTCAATTCCATGGGGCTTTGTTCTCCCAGAAAATCAGAGAACCATGGAATAGCCTGATCCGTAAGGATCCTCGATCCGACTCCTTCCCAAGACAATCCCAACAATCCCACCCTGTCCCTGGGAACAGTGTCCAAACACTCCTGGAGCTCTGGCAGCCTTGGGAATGTGGTCATTCCCTGGGGAGCTGTTCCAGTGCCCCACCATCCTCTGGATGAGGAATCTTTTCTTGATATCCAAACTAATCCTCCGTGGAGCAGCTCCAGCCATTCCCTGGTCCCATTAACCTTGGAATTTTACCCCATTTCTGAGGGAAACAACTCAATCATCCATGGCTAATCCTTTTCCAGGTGGTGGTGCCCCATTCCTCCCATTTTTCCCTCAGACATTGGATCAAAATTCCTGAATGAGGAGAAGTTCCTCAAACTCCTTCCCAACAATGGGATTATCCCGATTCCTCCACTATGGAATTCCAGTTCCCCAGTCCACAGCTCAGAAATCCCCGGGATTGATGAATGAGAGCCAAGGGAATTATGGAATAGATTGGGATGGAAAAAAACCTTAAAATCCATCCCATTCCCAATCCCTGCTGTGGGCAGGGAACATTTCCCACTATCCCGGGTTGCTCCAACCTGGAACTGGGTGTTGGAATGGAATGGGATTGTTGGCCCAGAACAATTCCCTCAATAGGACACCCAAAAAATTCCGTGGATCCCAAATGGAATCCATACTTACTTCCCAAAGACAGGCTCCAGAGTGCAGGGAAGGTAATTTTCCTGGTCATTTATGGATTTCTTTCCCACGGAAATCTTCACGTAGGGATCACACTGGAGGTGGGCACGGAAAGAAACACAGAAATCCCATGGGATTCCAGTCCCACTCTTTTCCATAGGTTGTTCCAAATCCCAACCCTCTCCCAAATAAAATTATTCTGGGAATTTGATATAAATTTGGAAAGTGGGGGATTTAATTCAAGTTGGATTTTTTTGCCAGGAGAAGGAAAAAAATTCAAGGGAAAGATCCAGTTCCACCTAAAAGACTTTACCTGGATCTACAGGGATCCACCATCCCCCATCCCAGCCACATCCAAGAATTCCCTGGAAAAAATGCCCAGACCAAGTTTTCTCATAACTTCTCCCGGATTTTTCTTTTCCTGCTTATTTGTTTTTTAAGGAATTGATGGGAAACAGCAATGCGCACCCAGGTATTCCTTGGGCTGGGATGAGCCTCCATAAAATTCCCATCCCTGGGGAAATTTGGAATCAAATTTGAGTTGGTTTGGGGTTTTAAATGAAAAAACTCCCTTTTTTTTTTTCCTTCTTTTTAATCCTTGTGAATTACTCATGGGGAATTTCTTAGGAATTCACATTTCCTTTTAAAATCCCAAATCCTTTAAAAAAAAAAATGGGAAAATTCAAAAGTAGTTGGAATTTCTGCATCTATTTTTCCATGTATTCCATATATATTTCCCATATTCCATATACTTTTTTCCATGTATTTTTATGTCTATTCATTATTTTTCCATAAATTTTCCATGTGTATTTACTATTTTCCCATCTATCTTTCTTAGATATTTCCTCACATATTTCCCATTCTATTCCTCAAATTTCCCCCTCTTTTCCGGTGGAACCAAGATAATTAAAAAGGATTTTTCCCTTCTCTGAGTTTTGGACCTACACAATTCCCATTTTCTCAGAATTTCTCTTCCAGACTAGAAAACCTTTGCAAGAAGGAATTTCGGGAAAAACGGGATTTTATTCCCTTCAGCATCAAAAACACCAAAAAAAATCCCCCTCAAAATAAAACCAAACCCAAAATTCATGGAACTAATCCTGAAAAATCCCAGCGGACAAAGGAAGAGCTGCCTCCCTGACTTCCCAGATATTCCAAGGGGAGCAGAAAACGGGAACAAATTCCCAAATTTTAGGGCAAACTTGTACATTTTGACCAAATTTTGACCCAGTTTTGACCAGAAAGGGCTGAGCTGTGACAAGAATCCACTACAGGAGTCAACTCAGAGCTTTCCCACCGGGATACCTTTCCATTGGAATCCTTTGGCTGGAGGTCGAAGGCGCGGATGATGTAAACCCGGACCAGACATTCCTGGAGTCCCCTGGCTGGGAGCTGCTGGAATTGCCGGGGAGGCATCGGAACGCGGGGATCGTCGGGAAGAGGGTAAATCCTGAAGGAACCCTAGGATGGACAAGGGAATTCAAGGAAGAAATCATAGAGATGGGAGCAGGCTTGGAATGACCAGAATGAATCATGGAATTATGGAATGGTTTTGGTGGGAAGGGAAATGAAAGATCTCATCCCATTCCATGGGCAGGGACACATTCCCTGATCCCAGGTGGATCAAAGTCCATCCCAACCTGGCCTTGGGCACTCCCAGGGATCCAGGGGCAGCCACAGCAAATCTGGGAATTCCAGCCCAGCCAGCAATTCCTTGCCAAGATCCCAGCCCAATCTCCCCTTTCCCAGTGGGAGCCATTCCCTGGCTCCTGTCCCTGCAGGCCTTGTCCCCAGTCCCTCTGCAGCTCTCCTGGAGCCCCTCCAGGGACTCTGAGGATTCCCTGGATTTTCCCTTCTCCAGTGGAACATTCCCAGCTCTCCCAGCCTGGCTCCAGAGCAGAGCAGCTCCAGAATCCCAGAATGGGTTGGGTTGGAAGAACCTTAAATCCCATTCCATTCCCACCCTTTCCACAGGGAGGGACACCTCCCATTGTCCCAGGTTGCTCCAAGCCCCTTCCAAGAAGCCTTGGCCACTTCCATGAATGAGGATTCCTCAACTCCTACAATTCCCGGACTCACTGAATGATTTGGGCTGAAAAGGACTTTGAAGATCCCACAATTCCCACCCCTAGGGACACAATCCATGGGGAGAAATTTCTGGGAATTTTTGCTCTTATTTCCCTCTTGGGCAGGGAAATAAGAGCAAAAATTCCCACCTTGAATTCCCCCACCACCGAGGGGTCATCGCTGGAATCCTGGGATCTCCCCCGGAACAGTTTGAAGGTGTGGCAGAAGTCGGAGAGATGCTCAAATTCCTCAATGTTTTCCAGCTCCGTCTCATAGACCTGAGGAGGAAAAGATGGATTGTGGGAAAAAAAATTCCAACCAAATTCTTAAATTCTGGGAAACTTCATCCCATGGGGAGAAATTTCTGGGAATTTTCGCTCTTATTTCCCTCTTGGGCAGTGGGAAAAGGAGAATTTGGGAATCCCACAATAAATTCCAGCCCATCCCAAGGACCCAGACAAAGCCAAGGTCTCCTGGTGGGTTTTTCATGGATAGAGATCTTCCAGCTGAGAATATTTTCCTTAAAACCAAGGAAAAAATGTTTAAATTTAAATGTGTTAAATTTAGCATCTCTTGTGCCTTAATCTCCCTCTTCCCTGAGAAATCCCTGATTTTCCTCATTCCCAAACTTTTCCCAGGATGGCACTTCCCCACCCTCTCTGCCACTTCCCAAGGGAAAATTTCCAGAAGTTTCCCAAAAGGCTTTTCCAAAGGAAACAGAATTTTCCACACCTGGGGAAAATGTTTTAGTTTTTTTGAACCCGGATTGGAAAAATACACCAAAAATCCCAAAGAAATCATGGAGCGTGGAATTCCAAGGATCCACACCTGACGGAAGTCACTCACCTTCAAGGTGTCAAATCCCTTTTCCAAGTAATATCCACATTTTTCCCTCTCTCCCGTGGAAGCATAAAATTTGCTCCACCAGTCGATGAATTCCTCCTCCTGCAGCCAGAGATCCCAAAGTTACTCATTTTCCACAAAAAAAAAAAAAAAAACAATCCCCGGAAAACAGCAGCAGCTCCCAGATTTGGGAAGCGAACCCTGCATCAACTCCATCCCTGATTTCCAGGTTTTTTTCGGGATGCTTCCAGTACAAATACAGGTGTTACAGCCACCGTGGATATTGCCAAGAGGATTATTCCTCATGGGAAGATGAGGTAGAGCTCCAAGAAGAATATTCCAAGAATTTGGAGCATTTTTAGGGAAGTTTTGGCCACTTAGAGGGTGGTTTTCCCAGGATTTCCATGCAGGGAATAAACCAATTTAACTCCAGTGTTAACAGCTTGAAATGCCCCAGTTTTAGGTTTTCCTGGAAATTTTTGGGATTTGGGAGACAGGGATTGGCTTTCTGGTTGCATCCCAGCACCTCCCAACCTCCTCATCCCAACAAAACCTGAGGATAAATAAATAAATCCATACAATTCCCATCTTTCTGTTAAAACCCAACAGTGCTCTGGTCTCCAGAACAACACAACCGTTGGATGAAAAAAACCGGGAAAATCCCACAAAACCTCAGCTCTCACCAACTCCCATTGCCTCATTCCCAGCGCAAACCATTCCAGGAGGAAAAACGGACCATGTGGGCTCAATATTCCATATATTTTATAGGAATCTCATTTTTGAGATCACTTTGCCGGCAATCCATGAAAAATTCCAGGAAAATCCTGGTGTCTCCTTTTAGGATGCCTCAGAATTCGAGCTCGGTGACCTCATGGAGGATTCCAAATGGAGTTTTATTGGATTTGTATTTGAAGCCAACAGCACGGGATTTAATGGATAGACACCGGATTTAATTGGAATATTCTGGAAATTCACTCCGAGGCTTCTGCCACCTCCTTTTTTTGGGAGGGGAAATTCCAATTTTCCTTTTTTCACTTCCCAATTTATTGTTTCAAGGGCTCCATTTAAACATCCTGACATTCCACAGGTATTGGGATACAAGGAAAATGTCTGGATTCATCCCAGGACTTACCCACGGAATCCTCTGCAGCCCCAAGGGAAAGAACTGGATTAGAGATTTTGGTGGATTTTGACTGATATTCCAATGAAAAACAGGGAAAACACAAAAAGGAGGGAAGGGGAGCAGCTGGAATGTTAACGGTGATGGATATGATTGCATTGGGGAATGGAAAAGCCATAGAAAGCAATGGATTGGAAAAGAATGGACTGAGGAATTTCATTTATCCAGGGGAAAGATAAAATTCCCTCCAGGTATCCCAAACCACCTGCAGGGGTTTTTCCATGGCACAGATGATCTCTGGGATTGGGATCTGTGCTCCCTTTCCAGCTTTTTCATGGATCCCACTGGGCACAACCCCCAGATGAGAATCCCTTGTGGATAAATTTAACCTCAAGAGAGCAAATCCTGAAAATTCCCTGGAAAAGGAGCTCATTCCCACCTGGAAAGCTGCTGCCATGATTATCCAGAGTTTTCCTGTCTCCCCATCCCTGTTCCATTCCCGTTCCCTCGCACCGCCCTAGAACTCCAACTTTTTCCCAAGAGGGACCCATCATTTGGATATCCTGGGAATAACTGGATCATTTCACCCAATCCCGTCATCCCAGGAGCTGCAGCAGCTCTGGGAACAAAGCACGAATGAAGAAAGGATAATTCCTCCTTTGTGGAAAACATTCCTGGCTGGAAGGGTGGGCAGGGACTGGGATGGAATTCCCAGATTTGCTGTGGCTGCCCCTGGATCCCTGGCAGTGCCCAAGGCCAGGTTGGACACTGGGGCTTGGATCCACCTGGGACAGTGGGAGGTGTCCCTGTTCATTGATGGAGTGGGACTGGAGGGGATTTAAGGTCACTTCCAACCCCAAAACATTCCAGGATTGTGGAGCTCTTTTGTTCTAGGAGAGCTGGGAAAGTTCCCCTGGAGAAGGGAAAAATCCAGGGAATCCTCAGAGTCCCTGAAGGGGCTCCAGGAGAGGTGGAGAGGGACTGCGGACAAGGCCTGCAGGGACAGGAGCCAGGGAATGGCTCCCACTGGGAAAGGGGAGATTGGGCTGGGATCTTGGTAAGGAATTGCTGCCTGGGAGGGTGGGCAGGGGCTGGGCTGGAATTCCCAGATTTGCTGTGGCTGCCCCTGGATCCCTGGCAGTGCCCAAGGCCACGTTGGACACTGGGGCTTGGATCCACCTGGGACAGTGGGAGGTGTCCCTGCCCATGGAATGGGATGAACTTTCAGCTCCCTTCCCACCCAAACCATTCCATGATCCTACAAACCCCAGCTGTGGAAATCCCGGAGTTTTCTCTGGGAATACTTTTCCCCATCCCCAGTGGCAGTGCCATGGGCTGGCTCCCAGCTGGGAATATTGAAACCATCAGGAACATTACGGGGGGGGCCAGCGCTGGGATGGGAACCATTCCCAGGAGGAGCCATCCAACACCCAGAGCCCTTCCAAGGAACGGTAACCAGAGAAGCCGTGAAATGTGGGCTTGGATTTGGAAGGAGCAAACACAGCAAACAACCAATTATCCCAAATAGTTTACAGACATGGATTGGCTGGAATTGGCTCTGCTGGGCTCCGTTAACGTGTCCTGGGATGGGGGATTTGGAAAGCAGCGCAAGCTGGAGTAACAGTGGAGTAACGGCAGAGTAACCGCGTTGTAGGGCTCCTCAGCAGGGAATGGTGGAGCAGCGGTGTCCAAGAGTCCCTCCTGAGCTCCTCTCCTCCAGGAGGCGCCCAGGAATCATGGAATTATGGAATCATGGAACGGGAAGGGACCTGAAAGCTCATCC